CTTTCTTTCTTTCTTTCTTTCTTTCTTTCTTTCTTTCTTTCTTTCTTCCTTTCTTTCTTTCTTTCTTTCTTTCTTTCTTTCTTTCTTTCTTTCTGTCTTCTTCTGCTAGAAAGCAATGGTTTAAATATTTTGGTATACGTGGGTATGTTTATCTCATCTTCTGGACATTTTAATTTTTTCATTTGCATTAAATCCAAATTGCTTTCCAAAGTTGTTGTACTGATTCACAGCTCCACCAACAATGCACTTGTATGCCTATTTTCCCACCACACCTCCAAGATTGACTATCCCTGTCTTTTGTGATCTTTGACAGTTTGGTTTGAGGTGAAATTCAGACTTGTTTTGACTTGCCTTTCTCTTATTAGGGATTTGGAGAATTCCTCCATATGCTTGTTAACAGTTTGCCATTCTTTCAAGGATAGTTTGTTCATATCCTTTGACAACTTATTTATTGGTGAATGGAATATCTGTTGATGGTTTTTTTCCAGTGGGAAAAAATATCTTTGTGTCATATGTAAATAATATGTGTGTATTAGATTCCAAACACTCGTAAGAGAAATTTCATACAAATATTTTCCCATTCACCATTTCCCTTCTTATCCGAAGTGTACTAATTTTGTTTGTGCAGAAACTTTTCAGTTTATGTAGGCCAAGTTATCTATTTTAACTTTTGTAATTGCCTCTATCATCCTTTGTTTCGTTAATAATGTAACTCCTTTCTATAGCTGATGATCTGCTTCTCTTCTACTATTTTATAATGCTAAGATCACATATGCACTTAGAATGCATTGTAGAATGTGACATAAGTTACTAGTCTAAGCCAATTTTATGCCAGACTATTTTCTAGTTTTTATCAAATAGTGAGCTTTCCTAAGTAATTTATATTTTCTAGTTTGTAGAATATTAGGTTATTGAGTTCCATTGTTTCTTGTTCTTCTTTGCGTCTATTAATCTTCCTCTTTATTTTTTTAATACCAGTTGGTTTGATGACTGCTGCTGAAGTCTAGAGGTGCTATTCCCCTTTCACCCTACCTCTTCTCATTATTTCCCTTGATATTCTAGGTCTTTTATGCTTCCAAATGAATTTTACTAATTTATCAAATTCTATAAAGTATTCCTTTCTAAATTTGATTCTATAGCATTAAAACTGTAAATTCACTTTAGTAGCAATGTCATTTTTATTATATTGGCATGACCCAGCCATGAGCACTTAACATTTTTTCCATCTATTTAAATTGTCCTTTCTCTACAGAGTAATTTATAATTGAGTACTTACAAGTATTTTGTGTTTTTGGCAGATTGATCCCCACATACTTTATTTATTTTGGATCTTTTAAAATATATTTTATTGCTATCTTTTGTTTTTTCCTGATCTGTATTTTCCAGTGCATACATCCCCTCCTTGGCATATATAGTATTTTGGAGTTATTTGGATTGGAATTTTCATTTCTGTTATTGCTTTTTAGATTTTGCTATTTTTGTAAAAATGCTGTTGATTTTTAAAAGTATACCTATTTTAATATTTCCATTTATATAATGTCGTACTTATCCCATGGGAACAGACTTCAGTGGAACCCTCTCTTACACCCATTCTCCTGTAGGTCTTCTTCCTGAAAAGTCGCAAAAATAATTTTCCTTTTAATTTTTAATCCTTGTATTGATTTTGGTATACCACATATTCCCTTCTATTTTTTTCCTTCCCTCTATACTTTTATGTGCCTTTCCATTTTACAAAAACATCCCAACATAGATTCACCCATGACCAAGTATTGGGAGGTTTAATCCATGATGTTTCAAACCTGTTTCTCCACTATTACTTCTTCTGTTTCATTTTTATTTTCATCTTTGTGAAAGGGTGAAAATGCTTTCACACTTATTGGTGTCCTATTAGAAAAAAACTCTTAATACTCTCATTATTATTTTGTTTTTGTTGTTAACTCAATAGATGTCTTTCTTTTCTCTTCTTTTTTTTTTTAACTTTCCCTTTTTCCTCCCTCTGGGGTACTTGATTTCATCATCTGTACCTTTTTTGGATGCTGTATTTATTTACTCTTCTTGCATTTTTGTTGTCTTGGGTGTTTGTAAGGAAGAAAATTTGTCTGGCTTTCTTTGTAGGAATGCTTCAAAAGCCTCTTTTAAATTAAACTCTTTGCTTTTAGTTACACATTATTCTCTCCTGTGGTGTTTCTTAGGTCCTGTGTAGTCTGGAGTCTTTCTGAATTTCCTTTCCTTTATATTTGAAAGTCTTTCTCCTGGTCACTTACAAAATTCGTGGTTTACCTTAAGAAATGTTCAAATTTGACTGTGTCTCTTGCAGTTTGTAGCATAGGTTGTAGCATAGGCTTTTTTTTTTTTCTGGAAGCGGTCTGTGCGTGTGTGTATGTGTGTGTGTGTGTGTGTGTGTGTGTGTCTGTATATGTCTCTGTGGGTATGTATTTTATCTTTTGTGTTTAGAAGTTTTGAATAATTTTCTCATTTTGTTTCTTGCATCATAGTGTTTGGGTTTTTTGACTTTTCTTTTCCCCTTTTTAGGCAATTGGAGTTAAGTGACTTGCCCAGGGTCACACAGGTAATAAGTGTCAAGTGTTTGGTCTGAGGCTGAATTTGAACTCAGGTCCTCCTGACTTCAGTGCTGGTGCTTTATCCACTGTGCCACCTAGCTGCCCCCGGTTTTTTAGCTTTTTATGTTCTTCTGGGAGACCAGTGATCAACATATGTTGCTTGTATGGACATTGTGTTTTCTTTTAACATTACTGATTTTTACTTTACTCTTTCAAGATTGTCCTCAGTTTTTCCGTTTTGCATTTCCAATCAGCTATTTTTTTTTCCTTTGGTGATATGTGCCCCTGTGGATTCAAGGTTTTCTATTCGGCTGATTATTTTGTTCATGCCAAAAATTTGGCTTTTGCAATTCTTATTTCTCTTTTAAACAATTCAGAAACATCCTGCTGCAGTTCCAGGCTCACTTGGGAATCCCCAAGGTCCTATGCCTCATGGTGGTTGAATCATTTTTGGTATTTGTTTTACAATATTTGATCATGGCTATCTGGATTTGTTTAACTGAACTTGAGGCTATATTCTCTTCTCAGGTTTTTAACTGGGTTTTCTTCCTCCCAAGATGTTTGGTCATTTTAGTCTTTTTTCCTTCTGTTCCCCTATCATTCATGCTCTGAATTCTTTCCCTTTAGTGAGGGTTTCACTGAAAGCTCTCTCAGACTCCTCCCAGTTTGCCATCTTCCATCTCTAGCCCAGGTGACTTGGGAGGGAACACAAGGAGATCCTCGTCCTTTCAAGAGGAGTTCCACGTGGGCTGACCCCTGCTCTAGTTTCCTCCCTTCCTCAGCTGTCTAGCTGGTCTGTTGTAGCACAGTTTTTTGGCCCTGTGGCCAGACCCACTTTGTTTGTCCACACCCCAGGGAGGTAGGTGAATGATCTTGGGGTCCCTGTGAGTCCAGCAATCGGCATGTGTAGCTGGTGCCATGTTTGGGAGGGAGCTTATGGGAGAGGGTGCGCTATACTAGCACATTACAGGTTAGTGATTAGACTTCTTTGCTTTCAGTTGGTCAAAGTTTTTGCCTCATAGGGGCTCTTGTTCCAGATTGTGGCAATGGCTGAAAAAGTTTTTGTCCTTTTCTCCTAACTCCTGTTTTATGGAGATTTGAGAGGTCATGAGTAGTGTAGAAAGTGTCTGGAACTCGTCTTGATAGCCATGTGACCCACAGGTGCCTCCTTGTGACTTTTAAAGCCCTTTATCACACTTCCAAACCTTCCCAAACTTCTTGGTCTGGCCATCGTGTTGTTCCTTCTGCATTCTCCATGCCTGCAGGGTGCTACCGCTTCTCATCCTCTTCTTATAATTCCTTGTTTGCTTCAAGATTCTGCTCCAGTTCTACCCTGACCCCACCCCCTGTCTGCTCCTCCCTTGTTCCCTCAAGTTATCCTGTTCTTTTTGATGTATGTCTTGTCTCCCTTGATAGAATATATATTTCTTGGGTGCAGGGATTACTAATTTCATTTTTTACTTTATATCCTCAGCCCTAAACACAGTGCCTGACACATAGCATGTGTTTCACAAATGCTTTTTAACTGATCAGTGTCATCTGATGTAAAAAATACGCAGTACAAATGGGGAATCTGGATATGCTCCTTGTTAGAATGAGATACTGGGTTCATAGCACTATCTCCTGAATTGTCACATAAACTTAGTGCATTCACTGAATACCTTGTGGAATTGATGTATGAAATCTCAGAAATTTGTTGTAAGCATGTGGAGACATCATAGTAATGGGTATTCTGAAATTGGAAACAAATAAAAAACTACAGTTATGTGTGATTTTGTAAGAATGATGGAGTGGAATGCTTTTGTGTTTCTGCACCAGCATGCTCTAGACCTTCAGCTTGCCGTGGCAAATATTCTGCAATCCCTGGTGCATACGGAGAGAAACCAACAAGTGATGTGTGAAGCAGGGCTCCACGCACGTCTCTTACAAAGATGCAGTGCTGCACTGGCTGATGAAGACCACTCCCTGCACCCGCCCCTCCAGAGAATGTTTGAAAGGCTCGCTTCTCAGGCACTGGAGCCTATCGTGCTGAGGTCAGTGACTTCTCTTTTTCACATTTGAATGGTCTTAGTAATGATACCAATTCATTTAGTCTTCGGGACAGAAGTTAGTGATAAAGCTATGACCTGGACCTATCATTTCAATGGTATGGAAAGCTCCTTCTACTGATACAGGTCAATGCCTTGTGTGCAACTTAAGAGTCATAGAAAGTTTGCCTGTGTCACTTGTAGTTTAAATGACTCGCCCAAGGTCACACATCAATACGTTTGGAGGTGGGAGTTGAGCCCAGGTCTTCCTGTCCTTGAGGCCACCTCTTTGTCTATTATACCATGCTGCTTCTGGGAACAAAAGGCAGTGAAGGGAAGTGCTCATCAGTTAAGACTGGATGCTTCTCAGCTCTTGGACATAATTTTATGTTATTTATCCTTCCCTTCCCTAGTTGAACTTAATATTTGTCAGGGCCTCCAAAGCTGAAAAGCCTGCGAGTATGAGCGTGCTTGTGGACCACATGTCCATCGTTTGAGGATCAGCCTTATCGAGTTTGCAAAGGTTCTTCACCATGTTGGCCAAATTGATGAGAAAGACTTTCATCATAGCAACTCTCACAGACTCCTTTATGGAAGGGTGACAGTCTGTGCTGGTGGAGAGGGAGGTACATACACTGAAAAAATTAAACTATCATTCTTGAAGTAATAGGACGTCCTGGAATTGGAGCATTTTTAAAGCAATGTCTGCTTTTTTCTTTGAACTTAATTTCTTTCTCTTAAAATGCACATTTTTTCATACAGCTTCATACCCAACCACTGCTTTTATTTTTAATGCTAGATTAGGTGATATTCACAGACTCATCCTTCAGTGTCAGCGTTAAATCTTGGTCTCGATTCTTTTTTTGTTGTAATTACTTGTGTTTTCTTTTTGCTAGCCTAATACTGTTAAAGTTCAAAAATGGCTCAGACTTTTAGAATCTAGCCCCTGCTCAGAGTCTTAGAATCTAGCCAATACCTCCCAGACTCTCAGATTCCTCAAGAATCTGGCTAATATGGTGGGTCTTTAATAAACCTTGTCTTTGACTGAGAAAAAAAAGTTCAAAAATGACATTACAAACCTTAGGTCTCTAAATTGGGCCAACGTAGAAGATTTGTTAGTGTTACATAGAAAACACTGGATTACGAGTGCAATGGAGGACACCCTGATCACATAATTTTACCTCATCCCAATCGACAATAATTATGCACAGGGCTGTAGGAATAGTGGGTCGACAGATAGAGTGCAGCAGTAGACTGGCACCAGTGGAGGAAATTCAGACCTCCTGCGTTGCTTGGCCAGATGTCTTGTTATGGTGTCAGGGCATTCAGCCCAGCTTCCTGGGCCTATTCCTGTCTGTGCCTCACCTTCCAATAAACAGGGCTGGTCTACCTCTTTACTGCCCATGACTATGTTCTTTCTTGCTTTGATTCATTCCCTCGGGGCAAATGTCTAGCTCCTTGATGGTTTACCAGAAATGTGTCTAACTTCTGAGCTAGCCAGTGACTAGCGACTCTCTAATTCTATCTAGGCTGAATAAAAAAAGCTTTACAACCAGTAAGGGGAGCACAGTGGAGACACTTCTAGGCGGTTCCTTTACCACCCTAACACTTCATTATTTCTGGATCAGGAGTAATTGTAGTAGAACTAAGCAAGAGGGAAATCAGTTGATTCACATGTTGATCAACTCCCTGTCATTAAATCAGTCAGTTAATAATGAAATACTTTAACTTATCAAACACATGTTTTATGCCAAGTATTGTGCTAGGCACTAAGAATATAAAGAAAGGCAAAAACATTGTCTCCCAACTATATGTGTATGTGTGTTTATTTTCATAACATCTTTATAGGGATATCTATCTACCTATACCTATATGTATATATGTATATCTGTGTATGTGAACTGGACAAAGATACAGCGATGAAAACAGAGAAGGAACTGTCAGACAATGTAGGAGGGAGAGGAGGGTCACAGAAACCTAGAGAGGAGATAGATGGTAGTTGATAGAGTTGAAAAGGATGAAGATTTAGGAAAGGCCACTAAATTTGGCAATCAAGAGAGCATTATTAACTTTGGAGGTGCAGTCGCAGTTGAATGCTGAGTTTGGAAACCACATAGCCGAGGGTTTAGAAGTAAGGGAGAAGGAGGTGAGATGCAGGGGGCATGTAGAGAGATTTGCTTGTCTTGGCAAGAAAAATGGCCACTTCTTTGTGGGAGAGAGGTGTGAAGGAGGAGATGTTAGGGCAAGATATCCAAGTCATGTCAGATGAGGAGGGAGGAGGGCAGAAGATTGAACTGGGAGTGGGGGGAGGCAGAGGGAGTGAGAGTAGAGGCTTGAAGAAGGATGAAGAGATTTGTAATAGAATTAGGAAGATGCAAAAGGTGGTTTACCTTGTTGTGACAAGGGCCCAGCTGAGATTCCATAACACAACTTTGTTGTGCATCTACATTTTTGTGCTCCCATCAGTGAAACATAAATAGAAGTGAAGTAGGTTGATGGGGGATGGGGGAGGGGGGTTAAATCTTGGATTTGGCAATGGTTATAGTGTTGAACTGGTTCACCGGAGTGTCTTGATAGGGAAGGAAAGACAATATAGTCAGTGCAGAGGTGTTTGCCTAGGTGAAGCATTAGAGGTCGTGGTGAGGATGAAGAACAGGGTTAGGGGTCATAAGTCATAGAATAAGATGAAATGACAGAAGATTGTTACCAGTGTTAATTATTTAAAGAAAAGAAACACGTAACATCTTTTTTGGTTTCTATAGATTTTTACAAAATGAGCGAGTCCTCAGAAGAGCTAATGGGCCATCTATTAGCCCTGTACAGAGTATAGAAATCCCTATATACTATGTAATTTAGACTATTCGTTTTGGTGCAGTGGGTAGTGCTGGGCTTGAAGTCAGGAAGACTCATCTTCCTGAGTTCGCATCTGGCCTCAAACACTACTAGCTGTGTGATCCTGGACAAGTCACTTAATCCTGTTTGCCTCAGTTTCCTCATCTATAAAATGAGCTGGAGAAGAAAACAGCAAACTACTTTAGTATCTTGGCCAAGAAAGTCCCAAATGGGGTCATGAAGAGTCAGAAATGACTGAAATGACAGAACAACAATGTTAACAACCATTGAAAAGGGCTTTTTTGTACCTATCCATGCATACTAAAAAAGTACTCTTAATACAATACAATAAAACACAACTTGGATAGGGTCCTATGTAAGACAGCCTTTTCAAAGTACCTTGTTGTTTATAAGCAATATTTTTTCATTTTGATTTTATAAGGTTACTTATGTGGAAAAGTGGTAAATGAAAAATATAAAGGACTGGCAAAACATCTTCTAAAATGAAAGGGAATTCTTTCTTAAACCTATTTAGAATTAACAACAGATATGAAAAATTCAAAATATTAAGCCATTTAGTAATAGCCTGGTGGCACAATGGGTAGAACTCTGGGCCTGGAGTCAGGAAGACTTGAATTCAAATTCTGCCTCAGATACTTGTTATGTGACCTGAGGCAAATCACTTAACCTCTGTCTGCCTCAGTTTCCTTAACTGTAAAATGGGGATAATGACATCTACCTCCCAGGGTTGTTGTGAGGATTAAATGAGATACTATTTGTAAAACTCTTAGCATAATGACTGACACAAAGTAGACAATGAATAGTTGTTTCCGTCTCTCTTTCAGAGAAATTTATATAAATGTGAATGAACTGATATAAAGAAAGTGGAACTAAGACAGTAGTGTAAACAATGAGTTCATTTATGTAAAACAAGAGTGAAAGCCCTCAGAATTCAGATTAATTTAATGACTAATATTGATTCTAAAGCATTAAGGATAAAGTAGAATTTTCTTTTTGATAGAAAAGCAGTGAACCACATGTGCAGAATAAGGTTTCTGTTATCAAACACTGTGCATGTGTCAGTCAATTCTGTACAACTTTTCCTTTTGTTACAAGAGACAGTTCTGTAGGGGCCAGAGTTGTTGGAAAGTAACTGCTACAAAAACAAACATATCAATAAAACTTTAAAAGAGGAAGTGGGAGGCATGGCTAACATAAATTACATTATTTCCATATTGATGTTCTGAATACCGATTTTTGTTTTTCCATGGCATTTTTACTAAACTTCCATTTAATTGATTCTCTTTATTAGGGAATTTTTACGTTTGGCAAATCCTTTAAATTGTGGTGCCTGGGATAAAAAACTTTTAAAACAGTATCGCATCCATAAACCCAGTTCATTAAGTTATGAACCAGAGATGAGAGGTAAGTGGGATCTGAATTTTCTCTTTTTCCTTCCGTGTGTCATTTTGTGATAATTCACCTGGATATGTTGAATGACTGTAATTGGTAAGTAGGTAAATACTTAAACAGGTCATGTTTGTGGCATTATTGAAATACAAGGAGCCGTATATAAATGAGGTGTTTCCAGATAATAGGAAAATGGATGTCTCAACAACAAAATAACAGTTCCACAACACTTGAAATGATAAATTGGCTTAGTTGGCTATCTCATTGCCGTGATATATTCAGAAATGAGTTTTTGATGTTCTCTGACTTAGACTTTCAGCAGTAACCCTATGATATCATTGGGTAAACTGATGCAAAAAGCAAATACTATGACAGTTTTTTCTGTTACCATTGTCTTCTGGAGTTTCCTACCTGCTCAACAGAAAAAAAAAAAAACAACTCATTTCTTGGGAACATTTGAGTTGCATTACATGGAAGCCACTTATGTTAAATTGACAGAGTAGTCATCTTTTCATTGTTTATATTAAAATTTTATTTCCAGGACCATTAGTAATCAGAATGAATTTAAAATGAAATGTGCTGCAATTAGTGTTTTAATTATTTTTTAATGGATTGAAATTAATGTGGGTAATAGAGTAGACAGGAGTAATATGGTCATGGCAGGAAATCAGGATTCTTTAAGTCTTCCTTTTGTTTTGTGGATATTACTAGTGTCAGCAACTCATAGTGTTTGTGTTACATAAACTTTGTGATTTAATTGGAAGCTGTGGGAGCTCTCAACTGAGATAATATGTGTAAAGTGTATCATAAAGCACTATAATTTTAGCTATTATTATTCTTATGACTATTTACTAATGTCTTGTTACCTGGGAGTTTTTGTTTTATATGTATTTTAATTCCCTTCCTCCTATCAGAACTGCCATTTATCCAACACTAAGTCATTTTATTAAAAAAAATCCTAAATTTTTTTTAAAAGTCCTAAAATATTAAAGATTAGCTTGGAAATATAAACACATATAATCTAATATTTATGATATTGACACTTTAAGACGTGACTTCTCTGACAATGCATACCATTGCCTTTATGCAAGAATTTTTGAAATTTCAGAATCTTGAACTAATTACATTTCATTTGCAGTATCATAGGAATATTTATGTATCTTTTTTACTTTAACAAATATGTTGATAGTTAAATGTTAACAAAAATACGTAAATCTGTGTTTTGAATCCCATTAGTTCTATGAAAAGAAAGCTATAACCAGGAATAAAATTTCTTGTCCTCCTCTTGGTGACAATTTTAGTAAGAATGATAGACCAGGTAATAGAACAGTAGGTTTTAATCATTTTTCAACCCATTTGTCAATCTCAAAATTTATAAATCTGATTTTCTCTATCTTCAGAGAGAACCTGTATAAACATGTTTGCAGATTAAGAGAGCATAATATTTTAAGTATCACAATATATAATTATAATGTATTAAAACTTAGTAGACGTTTATATGAAAAGATAGTTTTATAGTGAAGACACTGCTGAAATTGGAGATGGGGCCTGGGTGAAAATCCATCTCACTAGCCACGGGGCCCTGGTCAAGTCACTTGGCCTTGCTGAAATTTATTTTAAAAAATAAGCATTAAGGCACAATAAAGCCAAAAAGGTAGCTGGAGGGAAGGAGAAAATTGGGAATTCAGAATTTTTAAAAAAAATTAATGTTAGATTTTTTTTTACTTATAATTGGGAAATATTTAATGAAATAAATAAAAATCTATTCAAAAGAAAAAAAACTCTTTCCTTATAGGTAGTATGGTCACATCTGTAGAAGGACTGGGTTCTGATAATGTTTTTAGTTTACATGAAGATAACCACTATCGGATAAGCAAGAGTTTGGTAAAATCTGCAGAAGGAAGCACCGTACCCTTGACTAGGGTAAAGTGTTTAGTCTCAATGACAACCCCACATGATATCAGGCTGCATGGATCATCAGTTACTCCTGCTTTTGTTGAATTTGACACATCACTGGAAGGATTTGGGTAAGTACTTTATTTAAGTTCCATCATTGTTTATAACGTCCCCTACATATGTGTGTGTCTACATATATTTATCCATTTAAAAAGAGCATGGCATAGTAATTAGAGTGCTGAACTCTACTGTCATGAAATCATGGAGTCATGAAGGCTTCAAATCCAGCCTCTTATGCTTTACAAACCATTTAACTCGTTTGAGCTTAGTTTTTCATCTACAAAAAAAAATGGGGGCTGACATCTAAGATCCTTTCCTGCTATAAATCGGTAATCTTCTGATTTGTTTCATGGCCACAGTAGTCATCATCAGATGCTGGTGATGAGCCTCTCTAAACCTAGGCTGGCCCTCAAACAGCAAACACAGTTTGTCACCAGAACCCTACTGAAAGCCTTCCCAAGTTTGTAGAATGTGCCAGAGCTTACATTTTATTGACCGTGCTCTCCAAACCAGAGTCATTGCTGTGCTAAGGCTACAGAATAGGATTTGTTTTAATATTTCAAGGCTTCATAATTTTATCAATTGGAATCTTCCCTCAAAACGCTCAGAAAACAAACAAGCCCTCAATAGTGCAATGTGCGGGTTGTTATGAGTTGTTGTGACTGAAAATTTTGTAACTCTGTGTCCCCTCCCTAGTGGCAAGCATCTCTAGGCTAGTTCTCAGACAACGGACATACGATGTTCTGTTTATATAACCTTTCAGAAGCCAGGGTCAACTCCATTCCACAGTGTGGCAGGCAGACTGTTAAATTTGGACAATTTCATTATGTACAGTTATCTTTAGCTGGGAAATACAAAACCAATGATGAGATAGAAGAATATGTTTCTGTTTAAAGTATTTGTTTCTTCTCTTTTTATTATTAATAGTTGCCTGTTCCTGCCCAGTTTGGCACCTCATAATGCACCTACAAATAATGCTGCTACAACAGGTCTTACTGATGGTACTGTAATCAGTGGAATTGGAACTGGTAAATACTACTTAGTGCATTTGGGTTTATGAGATTTTATTTTTTATAATTCCGAACTTTTCCATTGTTTCATTTGTAAATATGTGTAAATATATATATAAATCTCTCTCTCTTCCCCCTCCCCTAAATATGTATCTTTTCCACCCCATCCAGGTGAAAGATTCTTCCCTCCTCCATCTGGATTAAGTTACTCAAGCTGGTTTTGTATTGAACATTTTAGTTCATCTCCAAATAACCACCCAGTCAGACTTTTGACCCTCGTGCGGCGAGCAAATTCTTCTGAGCAACATTATGTGTGCCTTGCCATAGTACTATCAGCAAAAGACCGGTCCCTCATTGTTTCTACTAAAGAGGAACTACTCCAGAATTATGGTAAGTTTTTTCTTTTCCTTTGAGTACAGGGGAAAAAATAAAGTGATTTTGTTAGATCCAACTTTTAATCTTTTAGAAAATTAAAGTTGGGTTTCACAAAGTGTCGTTAATGTTTTCACAAAGTATTCTGTGTTATTAAAGTGTAATCATGAATCATATTAATTAAAGTATTATATCATTAAGACTATATGAAATGGTTCTCTGTTTATTATTTCAACTCATCTCAACAACAACAAAATAGAGACTTGAAGAGAGGGTTGTCAGGTATGTATAAATTTAGATTGACTTTGCTTGCTGAGGAACCAAACTTTTTGATGGTGCTTAATGGGGATTACTGGGTAGTAGAAGGAAAATCTGTAAGTGGCATTGCATAGTATGGAGTCATTCAAACTACTTCCTCCCCTCCATCTCCCTTACCACAAACACATTGAGCGGGGGGGTATGAGAGAGGGAAGCCTGGGAAGCAGTGTTATTAGGAGAGAATGAGGAAGGAAAAAGTTCAAGATAAAATCTCGTTTGTTATCTATGAAGCAGACATTCCAGATAGCACTGTGGAAGGGCTGGAGAGCTTTAGAGTGGGAGACTGGAGGGATTGCATTGAGGGGGGTGGAGATAGAGAACAGAGATTTGAACCATGACAACCAGGGGTTCAGAATCACAGGGATGGGTGGCAGTATGTTCGTCATTACAAAATGAGTTCAGGTTGGTTATCGTTGTCCACAGGTGTGTCCTGGGTGTTAGGCAGCTATATGGGTTAGAGAGCAGCAAGGGGAGTTGAGGGGAAGGGGGTGGCATAAAGGCGGTCTAGATACGGGAAGGCAAGCCCTTTGAGTCACAGAATAAGAATTTAGTAGTTGGAAGGGACTCAGTAGTCATCTACTTAATCTCCTTCCTGGAAAATAAATCCCTCAATACTACTCTGCTCTAAGAAATGATGAGCTCAGTGATTTTAGAAATATTTGGAAAGACTTGCGAGAAGTAATGAAGAGCAAAATGAACAGAACCAAGAGAACATTATATACAGTAACAGCGATATTGTTTTAAGAACGACTTTGATCAAATAAGTGATTTCGCCTATTATAAATACCCAAATTATCTATAAAGGACATATTAATAAAGATGCTATCTGCATCCACAGAAAGAACTGATAAATAGAAATATGTATAGAATAATTTTACATGTATATACTTATTTGTGTCTAATGGGAGCCATCTCTAAGGTGGGAGGGGCGAAAATTTACATGATAATTTTGTAATATATTTGAAAGGAATAGCAAGTTGTGCATAGTAGATTTGCAGTTTCATGTGCAATCATCTTTTTTCTTGTACTGTGTTATAGAAATGTTTTTTTATTCCACAAATTAAAAATAAAATAATTTTTTTTTAAAAAAAGAAAATAAATCCCACTACAACATACTCAACAAGGGCCATGACTGAAGTCATGTAAGCAAAGAGAAGATTTTGTTTTGTTTTGTTTTTGAAGTAACACCCTGTGCAGAGGGTTCAAGATACAGAGATTAATCAGTCATAAGGAAGGTACTTATTTTCTAGTGGGGAGGATAAGACAAATACAGAGATAAATGTAAAATAAATTGTAAAATATGTGAATAGGAAAAGTCTAAATAATAGCAAATGAGACTTAAGGAGAGAGGCTGAGGAAAAACTTCATAAAGGAAGCTTCTGTGTACTTCATTCTGCATCAGTTCATACAAGTCATCTAAGGTTTTTCTAAAACCCTCTTTTTCATCATATTTTTGCCCCTTTCTGGAGTACCTTTGGTCTTACCCAATACCAGTCTTTACTATACACTTTGGGACCATAGAATGAGCCACTACATACTGGAAAAGCATATAATGAAAAACCCATACAATATTAAGGAAATGCTGGGCCCATCACACTGAGGAAGCTACAAAAAAGATTAACATTTGTTGACCAGAAAGGAGAAAGATGTGTGATACACATTCTTAGAGCACATGATAAACAGGTCAAAAGCTTATAGAAATACCTTGAAACAAGAAGGCACCACTTCACCAAGCAACAATCAAGTCATATGCTATTGGCTTTGTATAATGTAACCAAAATTGGGTTATCTTTGATTGGAGCTTTTAAACATTTCTTAATGTTTAAAATCCAAGAATGGAATTAAAAGACCCTTCCTTTGTGACTCCCTCAAAAACAGAGCCAATAGTATGTTGACAAGGAAGTATCAACCAAATAGCTGGGTCACATGGGAAGTTTGTGTTGGCATTTCAGGATCAGGTCTTTGTCACCAGAAATCACAGAAGCCGACATTGCCCTAAGGAGGCAGCATGGAGTAATGGACAGTGACATGTCTTCAAAGTCAAGAAGATCTGGGCTCACATCCTTCTGGGAGCTCAGTGGCTGTGTTACCTTGGGCAAGTCACTGACTTTCTCAGTGTGGCAGTGAATTCTTCATGACTATAACCTGCAGTACAGATGTCAGCTTGGGTTGGTAGAAGAAGTTTACTCATGATATCTCACAGTTTCCTGTATCAAAGTAACAACAAATCCAGTTCCTATCCCTATACTTATAGAGCTCAGAATTGATGATTAGTTGTGGTTGTGCAGTGAAACAGGAAAAACTATGTAGAATATCATTGCAAGCTGTAAATACTTGGCACCTACCCATTGCCTAGGCAAGGCATTGTCAGCTGCCTGGGATTATGGATCACAAGTATTATATTTTTCATGAAATCATCGGTGACACATCCCCTTGTTACAAATACGGCCCTCAAAATATTCTGGATAATTATCACTGAGCCACAGTTACCTGGACCTATCATTGTTGCATAAAGAGGGGCAGGGAAAGGGAATCAAGATTTATTAAGCGCCTGCTAAGTGCCAGGTACTGGATTTAGCTTTACAGATATGTTATTTGGTCCTCACAACTGTGGGAGATAGATGTAGTTATTGTCTTCGTTTTACGGTTGAGGAAACTGAGGTAGAAAGAGGTTGAGTGAATAGTCCAGGTTAAATCAGTCAGTACTGGCTGTGTGAAGAACAAGAACGACATCGCCTTCTACACCTGTAAGTGAGGAAGAACTCATGAACAGACAAAGGAAAAAGGGAACCAAAGAAAACAAATTAGACAGTTTTGGTTACACAAAAGTTGTTGCACAAATAAAACCATTTTGGTTGAAATTAGAAGGAAATGGGCAATTTGGGGGAAAATATCTGCCCAGTTTCTCTGAAACTCGTAAAGATCTTATGTCCAAGATATAGAATGAAGTCATCACTTTTTTAGAATAAGAGTCATTCCCCAGTTGATAAGCGGTCAAAGGATACCAACAGGTAGTTTTCAGAGGAAGCAACCCAAACTTTCCAAAATTTTGTGGGGCAAAAATGCTCCAAATCACTAATAAATATAAATTAAAGCAGCTATGAGGTTCCACTGCTCGCATATTAGATTGGCAGGGATGCCAAAAAAAAAAAAAAAGGAAAAGGGCAAATGTTGGAGAAGATGTAGGAAGAGAGGTACACACTGATGGTTCACGAAGCCATGAAGTGTTTTAGCCGTTCTTGAAAGCAATTTGGAACTGTGGCCAGAGGTCAGTAAACTGAGGCTGTCCTTTGACCCTGTGCTAACAATACTAGGCCTAGTAGATCAAGGAAAAAGGAAGAGGTCCCGTATTTCTAGAATATTTATAGCAACTTTTTTTGTGATGGCAAAGACCTGGAAACTAAGAGAGTTGCTGTCTGCTGGGGGAATGGCTGAGCTAATTACGGCATGCAAATGTAATAGAATATTACTGCCTGGTTAAAAAACAACTATAAAAGGGATGATTGCAGAAGACATAAATGAGCTGAGGCGGAATGAAGTAAGCAGAACCAGGAGAATGTTCTATATAGTAGTAACATTGTGGAAGCAAACCAGATTCCTGAATCCATAATGATCTTGACAAGCTATAATGTTGAGCTGAATATAATGAGATGAAATTCAGTAGGGTTAACTGCAGAATTTTGTGCTGTCAACTCCACAAATATAAACGGGGGTTGCATTGATAGGCACAGTCTCTAAACAATTTGGGAATCTGAGTGGATTGCGAGATCAATATTTTCAACAGTTTAATGTAGTATCCAAAAAATCAATGCAGGCTCAGGCTGCATTAAGAGAGGCATAGCTTCCAGGAACAGGAGGTGATAATTTCTACTGTCTTCTGTCCTCATCACAGCTCTGGAGTAATGTATTCTGTTCTGGGCAGCCTAGCTTAAGAATAATATTGATGAAGTAGAGAATATATAGAGAGGGAACATGGTTGTTGTGCTTTGTGCTCACAGGGGACCAAAATGACATCACTATGTCAGGAGCAAGGTATGGTGTGTCCAGGTGTGGCTGATCAGACCAGTACAAGCTCAGAAAGCTCCAGTAGTTCAGTCAGACACAAATAGTCCATATGAACATTTGGAGTGCAGATGTATCTAAATTTGAGCATCTCGTGGTTTTTTTTTTTGAATTACTACAATTCTGCTTTGTTTATAGAACACAGCACCTTCCTTGATGTGGGCATGCCGTACTGGTCCTGTGCCAATGTCTCCCCTGTCTCACAATCAGTTCTATGGTTCTTCAGAGACACCTTGAGATTGTCATTATGCTACTTCTTTTGACCTCTGTGTGAGCACTTGCCTTGTATGAGTTCTCCATAAAATAGTCTTTTAGGCACATGCACATTTGGAATTCAGACATGGCAAGCCCATTGGAGTTGCACTTTCTGCCGTAAAGTTTGAATGCTTGCCATTTCAGCTCAAGAATGGACCTCAGTGTCTGGACATAATCCTGCTAGGTGATCTTCAGAATCTTCCTAAGACAATTCAGATGGAAGTGATTCAGTTTCCTGGCATGGTGCTGGCATACTGTCCAAGTTTCACAGGCATACAACAATGAGGGCAGCACAATGGCTCTGTAGTAGATCTTCAGTTTGGTAGGCAGCCCAATACTCTTCTCTCCCACACTTTCTTTCAGAGCCTCCCAAATGCTGAGCTAGCTCTGGTAATGCATCCGTCAGCTTCCTCATCTATATATACATCCCTAAAAAGTTTACTGTTAAGGTAAATGAACTTAACCATAGCACTGAAAATTTCTCCATTTTCTGAAACTGATGGTTCCATGCGTGGATGGTTCAGTACTGGCTGGTGGGGCACCTCTATCTTCTTAGTGTTAATCGTCAGGCCACACTTAGCACAAGTGGCTGAGAATCGATCCATACTGTGTTGCATCTCAGCCTCAGAGGCTTTCTCTACAAACCATCATCAACGAATGCTGAAGCCATTGGCTTTCACCTCAGATTGAAGTCAGTCCCTGTCCAGTTGAACTTCCAATTGAAGAAAAGGTTTTGAATGCTATTAGGTGCCTCTCATATTGCAAAGCACCTGGTCCTGCTTCTATTCCAGGGGAGATCTACACGGCAAGGAGTCCACTGTTAATACGAAAGCTGACTGAAATCTTTCAGGTTATATGGCAAGAGGAGGTTTGAGGATGCCTCCATTGTCCATCTCTGTAAAGGAAAAGGATAGGTTGTCCTGTGACAATCACAGGGAGGCCTCTCTCTCAGTTACTGCTGATAGAATTCTTGACAGAGTCCTTAATAGGCCGATCCTTTGGTTAGATGGTCATCCACCTGAGAGCCAGTGTGGCTTCGGAAAGGGCCAACGAATGGTCGATAGGGTGTATGCTGCCTGACAGCTCCAGGAAAAATGCCAGGAGCAGAACAGAGGTCTGTACACAACATTCATTGATCTGACCAAGGCCTTTGTTACTGTCAGTTATAAGGGCTAGTAGAAGATCATGGCAAAATTTGGCTGCCCGGAGAAATTCATCAGTATTGTGCATCCGTTTCACTACCGTATTCTTGCCTGGGTTCTGGATAAAAGACAATGCTCTCACACTTTCACAGTCACCAGTGGAGTGAAGCAAGGCTCTGTGTTTACTCCCATGCTTTTTAGCATGATGTTTTTAGCAGTGTTGTCAGACATCATCGACAAGGACTAAAACAGCATAAAGGTCAGCTATCATCCTGATGGTAAACTATTTAACTTGAAAAAACTACAAGCCAAGACTAAAGTGGAGAGAGAGCTTGTATGTGACTGTTTCTTCACAGACTGAGCAACCAGGATGGAAAAGGGCCTTGAGTTCGTGATATATGAAGATCGTTTGAAGTGATTGAGTATGTTTAGCCTTGTGATAGGACTAGTATATTTACCAGCATTTCCCTGATGCAGCTTCTTTGCCCCCACCCACAACATGGGGATGATATTTAGACTTCTCCTCCTTCTCTAATCCATAGGGATTTGCTTTCCCTAAAAGGAGACAAAGCTGATCACAAGCTTTTATCAGCCCTACCTTCTCCAAAACAGATTCATTACTTAAAGGCATTGCCCAAAGTCCCAGCCATAGTCAGTCCCAGCCTCTCAGACTTGGTGGATTTCTGAAGACCACGTAAGTACGATGCCTTTCACCGTATCCTTCCTTAATGACCAGATGCTTTTCCATCTAGAGACAGAGGCAAGCCACATCCAGAGAAGCTAAGTGTCCCTGCCACGTTGTTGCACATCCTTGCTGTGTTTGCACAAAGTAAACCCTCCTTTTGTTAACTTTTCATTTTATCCCAACGTGAAACCAGAGTGATGTTAGGGCTGCCCCTAACAAGCCTGAAGAAAAGAAGGCTCTGTGAGAACGTGATGGCATTGCTACAGAATGTGAAGCATTATCATATGGAGGAGCGATTAGACTTTGTTCTTTTTAGCCTAAAAAGTAGAGTTGTCCAGTTTTGGAATGGCTTCCTTCATTCAAGCAGAGGCTGGATGCCCACTTTCTGTTTATTTTTTTGGTTAACGATAATAATTATTAATAATAATTAAAGCATTTATGCTTTGAGGTTTGCAAAGTGCCCTAAAATTTTGGTCTACACAGCAGTCCTGTGAGGTAGGTGCTATTATTATTTTACAGACGAGGAAACTGAAGCAGACGGAAGGTAAATGATTTGCCCAGTCACACAGCTAGTAAGTGGTGGAGGATTTGAGCACAGGTCTTACAGACTTCAGGTCTGATGCTCTATCCCTTGTGCCACCTGGCTGTCCCTGGCGGGGATTCCTTTGTGTATAGGTTAGATGACATGACTGCTGAAGTCTCTTCCTCTTCTCAAATTCTGTGATCCTTCATGCGCTACTAGATGACAAATCTCCTCATTACCAATACAGATCTCAGGATATCTTGGAGAAATGCAATCATTAAAATGTACTGTAACCACAGTATTACTGCACACCAAGCTGTTGCCTCCAGAAACGCAAATGTAATATTAATGCACAAGAATTTATCTAAATCTATTGTTAATCTATGTTGCCATGCCAAATATGCGTAATTTTAAATTATAAAGAGATCAAAAAGGAAGCTTCTCTGCTACTAGAAATGTTTTCTGTAAGGCTGCCTCCAGAGGCAGGCTATTATTTAGGTTCTAATACTGTCATTTAGCCACGGAACGTATTTATTTTTCTGTTTGAGCAATGGTCATTGGCCATTAAATGTGAATGAATAATAGAAAGATGGTTACTTGCCTCAGTACCATTTCTATCTGAAGTTCTTCAAAAATATGAGAAAAATGGGATGATGCTTGTGGTGGTGATCATGATGGTGATGACAATGAAGATAGTGATGATAACGGTGGTGGTGGTCATTCCTGTGACCCTTGAAGATTTGCACAGTATTTCACATAAAAGATCTCTTTTGACTTTGTCTGTAAGTCACCGTTACAAATGTCAGTTCTTCTTTTACTTTGATTTGTAATTTGCTCTTCTTTTAACATGAATGCTTTCAAAGAAGGAAAGAATTCTATTTCAGTAAAAGCTACTAGCATACTTATAGATGTTTCCATGACTTGGATCAGCTATGCAGTCCAGGTTATTCAATGCCATTTAAATTTTAAGAAAATTAAACCAAAATTTCTTCTCACCTTAAGAGTTTTTGTTATAAGTCCAAATGAAGAAAACCATAGGGTTATTATGGGGATCAAATGAAGTAATATTTGTAAAGTCTGTAGTACAGTGCCTGGCACATAGTAGGTGTTATATAAATGCTTTTTCTGTTTCCTTCATAGCCACTTGTAAAATAAAAACTCTTATGAAGTCACTAATAATAGCATTTATCTTTTGAGTAGTTTGTGTAATCTAATTTCCTCTTTATTTTTCAAAATTCTTTAAGTGGATTACTTAAAAACTAATCTTTGGATAGTATTATATGACATATAATACTATATATAGTATATAATCTTTGGGTCGTATAATATAGTATAGTATTATTTGGGTAGTATTTAGGAAGGAGGTATCACATGCTTGCTAACAGCATCGTCATGTTGAGTGAAGAGTGATAGTTAACATTTGTGTCTTTATGTATTTGCTTTAATAGAAAGTCCTTAAATTGATCTAAACCACAGAGATGAGATTGGCATAAGTGTTCCATTAAGCTTTCTTTTTTGTTTTAGTTGATGACTTCAGTGAAGAATCCTCATTTTATGAAATTCTTCCTTGCTGTGCCCGCTTTCGCTGTGGAGAGCTCATAGTTGAGGGACAGTGGCATCATCTTGTCCTAGTAATGAGTAAAGGCATGTTGAAAAACAGTACTGCTGCCCTCTATCTTGATGGGCAACTTGTCAATACAGTGAAGGTACGTCTATGCTTTTAAATACCTACACACTATAAAAATTTTTTACTTGTTTAAATTGTGTTTTTGCCCAAAATTGATCTCAACGTTGCTTCTGATGTGGTGTTTTATGCTACTTGCCCAGTTCTGTGTGTCACCATATTTGTGAATGACATGGGGGGAGCACTGGGAGGGCAAGAATGGAGTTGAGGAGTGTGGGTTTGTATAGAAGTGTCGAAGAGTCTCTCTCTTCTTACAGCCTTCAATACAGAGGCACATAGCTGTGGAGCTATAAGGAGCATGTAGCCCCACCCCCCTCAATTACACATTGAAGAAATTTCACGTTCAGAGAGGTTCAGTGACTAGCCTGAGGTCACAGAGACTGCAGTCCAGCATTGATCCTTGAGCTGTGCTGCTTTTTGCTTTGGGTAGTAGAATATTATTTATAAATAACTTCTGATTCCCATTTCATGTCTGTATCTCTCCCTTCATCTTGGTTCTTGGATACACTGAGCATTATTTTATTTATTAACATCACATGACAGAAGGGGAAAGGTTTCCTATGTAAGCTCTAGAGACAAGTATAATGGTGAAAATCAAGCAAAGGTTATATCATTGTGCTTTGGTGTCTTTTAAAAAATGACCATCTTAGTTTGTAAACTTTTAAAAATGCTGACATATTAACTGATAAAGGCTGAATTTTTAAACTGCCTCAGAGGGAAAGATTCCAAGACAATGAAAAAGATCAGATTATTAGTAGCATCAGCAGATGACCAAGAAAGAAGACATCAGTAACTACCCACCCACTTCTCATTACTTATAAAATACTTATGAGAGCTCAGAGATCCCCTCCGTGAAATATAAGAAGCGCACAGGCTTTCACAAACGATTCTTCACACCAGACCGTGTCTGCAGAGTCACGGAATTGATTCAGTTGTCTAGAGAGGTGTATCTTCATGTTTGCTCAGCACAAAAACTTGAGTCAGTAGAGCAGAATGCCATGTTAAAGGCTCTCCTTCAATAAACAGACATGTGGTGTACGCTTTATCAAAATGTCAAAGCCTCTGTTTTTTTTTACTTTGGCTTTGCTGTCCAGATACAGTCATTTGATGTTTCCTTTGTGTTTAAGCTTTATCTTTAATGTTACTGCTTAAAATAAAACCAAAATATGGATTTTTGAATCAGTTAGTGTTTAGTTTTCAGCAATGGCTCTCCACTATGTTCCCTTACCCAGGTGCTTTCTTCTTGCAAGCAGGCATACTGAGGTTTCCGTATCCTTAAGTATTTGGGACTTTATACAAGTCCACTCCACTTTATAGAACTGCATGGTTTTAGGACGCTTCATGGTATTTATGTGTGATTTGTAGGTGACTCATAGCGATTGGAATTCACACTCATATAAAGTCCAAGCTCGAAAATAAATATGTTGGACTAAAAAAAGAAATTATATAAAGATTTTTAATAGAATAAATCCAACTGAATAGTAATTTTATTCAGTAATTCTCTGAGAATATGACTACATGAAACTGAAATTGAAAAGTGGAAAATTTAATCAGCTTGGCTGATTTTTTTGTATATCTCTTACAATTCCATTATTTTTTGTTAAAATTCAATTGAAAATTATTTTTGGCATCATACAGACTTAGCAATAATGTGCCTTGAAATCTGAACTTAAACATGTGGTATACAGGAGTTTGGAAAGTAAATGTGTGTGTGTGTGTGTGTGTGTGTGTGTGTGTGTGTGTGTGTGCACGCGCGTATTTGAATTTTCACATTAAAACATACTTAAGTACTATAGCAAAAACATGAATTGTTGCATCTTACATGCCCCAATGAGATGCTGATCTTTGGCTGCAACCTTAAATGGAATCTCAAAAGGAACGTGTTATGTATTGCAACCACATCTTCTTGAATCTGCTTGTGGTTTTCCTGCATCTCTCTTGTTCTGTTGTTTGCTGTTCCCAAAGAGCCAGATAGCAGTTCAGCCCACTGCTTCAGTCCCTACTTCAAGGGCAGAGGTCCAGGCTCTGTTAGAGCACACAGACTTCTATCCTGTATTATTAGCTGTACTTGGGACTTTTGCACAGTATGAAGGTGCCCACTGACCTCTGGGGGATGGAGATATATAGCATAAGTTAAACTTGCTCGTTTTCCTTTTCTGGCATACCTGCTTTTGTTCTGATTCATTTCTTCTCATTTTTCTTTATAGCTTCATTATGTTCACAGTACTCCAGGGGGTTCAGGTTCTGCAAATCCACCTGTTGTCAGCACAGTGTATGCCTATATTGGCACACCACCTGCTCAACGGCAGCTTGCTTCATTAGTATGGCGCCTGGGACCCACACATTTCTTAGAAGAAGTTTTGCCTATTTCAAGTGTTAATATCATTTATGAACTAGGACCAAACTATGTTGGAAGCTTTCAGGCTGTACATGTCCCATGTAAGTACCCTTGTCCCTCTTAGCTAAAATTCCTCCTTTTAATGATTCATAAACTAGTCCTCATGAATTGTGTACCTTGTCAATCAAAAAACATTTATAAATTATCCAACAAACATTTATTTAATACCTGCTGTGTGCAGGGCACTGGGAATAAAAATACAAGGAATAAAGCAATCCCTCCTCATGAGAACAACAAGAATATTACTCTCTCTCTCATTCTCCCTCTCTCTTTCTCTAACTCTCTTTCTTTCTCTTTGTCTTTCTGTCTCGTCTCTCTCTCTCTGTCTCTGTCTTTCTCTCCTCTCTCTTTCTTGTTTCTTCCAAACCTTTTCATCCTTCCTTAAAGCCTTCCATGGCTCCTCCTTCTCCCACTTTCTCAACTGAGAACCTTGTTTCATACTCTACAGAAAAAATTGAGGCCATTTTCTGTGAGCTCACATTCTTCCTTCTTTCCCATCTCATATCACTCAGATGCCTTCTGCCACTATCTCCTCCTTCACCTATCTCACATGATGCGGTAGCCTTACTCCTTACCAGGATTAACCCCTCTACCTGCTCAGGCAGTTTCATTCATATTGCCCCCTCTGTCATCCCCACTCTATCACTTATCCTCAATCTCTCCCTGTCTACTGGCTCCTTCCCTACTTTCTCCCCCATCCTCAAAAAATAGCCCTTTCTCCTTCCATCTCTGCTATCATCCTATATTTCTTCTGTTCTTTGTTGCTAAACTTGAAAAGGCCATCTACAATAAGTGCCATCATTTTCTCTCCTCTCACTCCTTAACCCCTTACAGTCTGGCTTCCAGCTTCATCTTTTCACCAAAGCTACGCTCTCCAAAGTTACATAAATTAATTAATGAAGATCTCCTAATTGCTAAATCTAATGATTTTCTCACTTGTCATTTTCTTAACTTTTTGCAGCCTTTGACACTGTTGATAACTTTCTTTTCTCTTTAGGTTTTCTTAACACACTCTCCTGATTCTCTTCCTACCTATCAGATTGCTCCTTTTCTTCCTTCTTTGCTGGTTCCTTATCTAGATCATGCCCTCAGATCATAGGTGTTTCTTAGGGTTCTGACCTAGACCCTTTTCTCTTCTCCCACTGTACTACCTCATTGGTGATCTCATCAGCTCCTATCAGTTTAATTACTATTACTATGGCAATGATGCTCAAATTAATCCTATGCTGCCCAACCTCTGTTGACCTCTAATCTCTCATCTCCATCTGCTTTTCAGACATCTCAAACTGCATGTCCAGTATATATCTCAAACTCAACATGCTGAATACAGTACTCATTATCTTTCTATCTAAACCCTCCACCTCTCTTACCTTCCCTATTACAGAAGAAAGCAACACCATCTTCCTGGTCCCTCAGGCTTACAGACCAGGTGCATCCTCAACTCCTCACTGTCTCTTAGCTCCCATGGCAAATCGGTTGATTTCACCTTTGCAGCGTCTCTCAAATATGCCCTCTTCTCTCCGGTGACACTGCAACCATGCTGGTACAGACCCTCATCACCTCATGCCTGGACTGTTATGGTAGCCTGCTGGTGGGTGGGTCTGCTGCCTCAAGTCTCTACTCATTCCAGTCCGTCCTCTCTTCAGTCACTAAACTGATTGTCCTAAAGCCTAGATTCAATCATGTCATACACCACCACCACCTCTATTTAATAAACTCCAGGGGTTCCTGATCACCTCCAGCATCAAATACAGAATACCTTGTTTGACCTTCAAAGACCTTCATAACCCAGCCCCCTCCTACCTTTCCAGTCTTCTTAAACCATATTCCTCACCACATACTCTTCAATATAGTGATACTGATCTCCAGGCTGCTTCATAAAAAAGACACTCCCTCTCTCAGATCCAGGCATTTTGTCTGGCTGTCCCCCCATCCCTGGAATATTCTTCCGCTTACCTCTGACTACTGACTTCCCTGACTTCCTATGCTGAGATCTCAACCAAGATGTCATCTTCTAGAGGAAAACATTCCCAATCCTTCTTAATTCTAGTGCCTTCTTACTGATTTCGTCTTTATCCTGTATATAGGTTGTTTGTACATATGCGCTTTGTTTATTGTCTTTTCCTTTAGATTGTGAGCTTCTTGAGGGCAAGGACTATCTTTTGCCTTTTTTTTTTTATCCCCAGCACTTAGCACCATGTCTGGCACATAGGAGGTATTTAACTAATGTTTATTGATTGATTAAGTAGAATATACATATATACCAAATTATTATACAGTAATATATAATAAATACATTTGTTTGTAAAATATAATAAATGCAAGGTAGTTAAGGATGGCACTAGCATTTGGAGGGTATGGGAAAGAACAGGCTTGATGTAAAATATTCTTGAGCAGCATTTTGAAGGAAATAAGGAATTCTGCAAGATGGAATTGAGAACAGAAGATGGCCATTGCAAAAGCAAGGCAGTAAGCATGTAGTAGAATATAAAAAGAACAGAGAAAAGGCCAGTTAGGATTGGTATCAAAAAATGCAGGAAAAGGCGAGGGTAATATATAATGAAGCTGGAAAGATATGTTGGGTCCAGGTTGTTAAGGGCTTTAAAAACCAGATAGAATAATTCAGATTTGGTCCTAGAGGCAATAGGGAGTTACTGGAGTAATTGATTAAATAGGGCAGTGTCATGGTCATACTTGGGTCAAGTAAAATCACCTTCGTAGTTAGTTGTACTGAGGATAGATTTGATGGGAAGAAGCAAAATGGAGATACCAATTAGGAGGCCATGGCAATAGTGTAGGCTAAAGGTGAGAACCCAAGCAAATGAGATGAATGTATGAGTAGAGAAGAGGAGGTGAATATGAGAGGTGTCATGGAATTAGAAACAAGATTTGGCCCCTGATTAGATATTTGGGTTGAAGGAAGGAAAGTAAGAAGTAGAGAATAATGTGAAGATTATGACCTGAGAGACTGGAAGAAAGGTGTTCCCTTCAGCAGAAATAGGAAGGTTTAGAAGAGAGGTGGGCTTGAGGACAAAGATAACTAGTTCTGATGTGTACATGTTGAGTTTGAGGTTTCTCTGAGTCATCCAGTTTAGAATGTCCAACAGGCAGTTAGAGATGAGGCACTGGGGCAGAAGGGAAAAGTGAAAATGTTCCTGCTTTCATGGCCTCGCAGTCTTTTGGGGAAATACAATATGGACATAAGTAGATACATACAAAATAGATAAAAATAAATACAAGGGGTAGAAGCTCCATGTGGAAAATGTCACGTGAGAATGGTTTTAGAAGAAATGAGGGTTAGAAAGAATGTCTCAGACAAACTACTTGGACAGAGTAATTTCTTTTTAGTGGTGTTACTGAAAGTCAGGTCTCGAGGTGTCTGTCACCCAGTCAGTAAATACTAATTAAGCCCTTACTGTGTGCCAGGCACCATGCCAGGCAGCGGGGATATGAAAAGTGGCCAAAGAGATGCAAAGGGGAAATCAATAGGCCTCGGGAACGGCTTGGATGTAGGGGGTGAGGGAGAGGAAGGCACCCAGGAAGATTCCTAGGTTGCCAGCGGGAGGGGCTGTTGCCTTCTGTAATAATAGGAAAGGCAGAAAGGGGCAAGGGTTTAAGGAGAAAGATACTGAGTTCTGCTTTGGACATATTGGGTTTCAGATGTCTACTGGACATCTGGGTTGAGACACCTGAAGAGCAGTTGAGTTGAGAAGTAAGAACAGAGAAGACGTGTGTAGACAACAAACGGTGGAGAGATTTGGGGGATAGCTTGAGGTGAAGACAGTAAATCTCTTTAGGGTTAGAAAGACTTGGGCATGTTTGTAGGCATCAGAGAAGGAACCAGGGGATAGGGAGAGATGAAAGTTTAGAGAGAGGTAGGGGAGAATTGTGGGGGCAGTCTGCTGCAGAAGGGGAGGGACATTATTAAAAGGGACTTTTTCATCAGGGACTGGAATAAAGTTGGAGAGAATGAGGAATGATGTCAAAGGTTTGTAATAGTCATCACTATGAAGTATAGAAGAGCTATTCACTTAGTCAGAGAATTAGCTTGCTGAGTTGAGGGCCCAGCTGAAATTAGATCAATAACATAAATTTGTATTGGACCCAGTCAGCTCAGTCACGTGATATCCTCCAGCAAAGCATGGGTGTCACTAAGACCAAGGGACAAGGGATTCGGTGTAGAACTGTAAATTGGTTAGCTATAGGAGTGAGGTTTGGAAAGGAGGAAAGTGAAGTCTGAGCCTGAGTGGCAGCCAGCGAGGGTGCTAAGAGGTGTGAGGATTGTAGGGTCTAGTGAGGACAGGTCAGAGAAGGAAAGAAAGGAGTTCATGAGTGTGATAAACGTGTGTGTGTGTGTGTGTGTGTATATACACATGTGTACGTGTGCACGTGCATGCTACCTTCTCTGATGACTCATGCTCTGCTTCTACTAGAGAACTCTAGAATTTGGCTCACTGCCTCTCCTTAAAAGTTTTTTGCTCTCACTCCCCTGTTCCAGATTAGGTCCTAGAGTCTCTGAAACAAGCATACAAGCTTCCACTTGAATGTCGCCCACAAGATCCCTTCCCTCTCATCTCCTTATCCCCAAAGCAGTCATTCTACTTTTGGCCAGCTCCTGTTACTGAGAACTTGTTCCTCAGATCAAACTGAAACCTCTTTTTAAATGTTATTTTTTGGATACCTTTGTTTTTTATGACATATTCACTTCTGGATATTACCAAATCTACCCTTAGAATTGAATGTTTCTTTGTAACAAAGAAAAACAGTTAAGCACAAACAAAGTTCATGCCCTTATCTCCTCAGGCATATATTCTCTGGTCCCTCTGCACATCTCCTCCCTTTCTGCCAAGAGGAGTAACGTTTGGTCAGTTATCTTATTTGAACTTCAGCCCTTTATCTTCTTTGATCCTCTTGCCTTCTCAGCTTCCTTTGATGGATTTTCTTCTCCCAATGGCATGTAAGCTCTTTGACGGCAGGGAATGGCCTTTCTACTTGTATCAGTATTCCCTGAGCTTAGCACAGGGTCTGGAATGTACTAAGAACTTAATAAATGGTTGTTAACTTAGTTTGCCTCTTCTCTGTTAGTAATATTTTTTAACAGTTTCTCAGAATTTGACTTCCTCTTAGTGCTCTTTTCCTTTATTTTTTTGTAGCCATATACATATATATATATATATATATATATATATAGTTCTGTTTCTTATTTCATTCCTTATCTGTTTATAGAAGCGTTCCTGTATTTCTCTGAATTTCTCATAGAAATTGTTTCTTAATGCACAGTAATGTGCACATTCACATACCGTAACTTATTCATCCAGTACTCAGTTGATGGGTAGACATTTTATTTCTAGTCCTTTATACCAAAAAAGGGGCTTCTATGACTATTTAGGTAAATACTATACATTTCTGTCTTTGGTTTCCTTGGCATGTATTCTTAGTGGGAGAATCCTGGATCTAAGATATGAACAGTTTGGTCTCTGGTTGCACAAGTCCAAATTGTTTTCCATAGTGGTTGAACCAGTTTGCAAATCTGCTAACAGTCTCTTAGTGTGCCTGTCCTCTACAGCCCCCTAAATGGGGCCTGTCTCTATTTTTGTCATCTTTGCCAATTTTCTGAGTGTGAAGTGAACCGTCAGAGGTGTTTTCATTTGTATTTCTCTTAAACATTTTTTCATAGGATTATTGAAAGTTTATATTCTTTTGAAAACTCTTCATATCCTTTGATCTTTTATGTGTGTCTTGGAAAATGTTTCTTAGTCATTCTGATCCTTAGTTTCTTAATCCCTGTTTAAAAATATCCTCTGATATACTTAAATATCTAGGATATCAGACTTTCATGAAGTATATTTGCACATTTTTTTTTCACCTGCCACCATTTGTCCCCTGAGTCAATTTTGTTCATGTGAAAGCTTTTTAATTTTCTGTAATTGAAGTTGTATATTTTTTCTTTTATTATCATCTCCATCCTTTGATTAAAAATTTCTCACTTAGCTTTATAAAGATATATATATATATATATATAAAGATATAAAAGATAGCACCTTCTATTTTCATTTATTTGTTTATTGTTTATGCTGTTTGCCCTTTTATGTTCATGTCAAGTATCCTTCTGGAGCTTATTATGTCAAATGGAGTAAGATGCTGGTCTAAACCCAATTTCTGGCAAACTGCTTCCCAATTTTTCCATAAATTCTTATGAAATAAGTACTTCTCCTCCCTTTATTTTGTATTTTTTTCTTCGACACACATCCAATTTGTCTTAATACTTTTGGTTCTTGCTTATCTAATCTGTTCCCCAAACTACTTTTCTGTTGCTTAACTTCTATCAAAGAGTTTTGATGATTATTCCTTTATAATATAGTTTGGGGTGTGATAATGCTGTTTTCCCTAATTTCCTACTTTTCATTATTTCCTTTCAGATTCTAGAACCTTTATTGCTCTTAATGAGTTTTGTTGTTTTTTGTAGTTTTGTAAAGCATCCCATTGGTAACTTGATAAGTATACTTCAAAACTGATAGACTACTTGTGCCAAGGCTTTTAACTTTGTCATTATTATAGATAGCATTTCTAAGCTCATGTTGTCAAATTGTGCTATAGGGAAGACATCTTTGTGTTTTATCCCTCTTTAAGCTAGGAGAGCTTCCTTTGTTTCTCGTTTGCAAATGGAGCTCTTGGCTCTAGATTTTTTTTTTTTTTTGATCGTGGCAAAGAAGGACGCCTTCTGTGCATGTATTATGTAGGGTTTTTTTGTTTTTTTTTACAGAAATAAGCACTGCATTTTATCAAAGGTGTTTTCCATATCTATTGAAACAATTAATTTGGTTTTATTGTTTTCATGATTTAATACTTGCTAATGTTGAACCATCTGTGAATTCCTGATATAAATCCAACTTGATAATAGTGAATTATTTTTTGAATATATTGCTAAAATATCCTTGCCAGGATTTTGTTTAAAACTTTTGCATCAATATACATAAAATTTATCTATAACTCTTTTTCCTCTTTGATTTTCCTTGGTTTTGGTATTAGACCATATTTGTCTTTCTATTTTTTTAAAGAGGTTTTGGTAAAGTGCATCCTTTATTATTGAGGGTTATATAGTAGTATGGATGTTAATTGGCCATTAAATGTTTACTTGAGCTTGCTTGTAAGTTGATCTGGGCCAAGGTTTTTTCTTTGGTGGAGATGTTAAACCAATTTGCTTGCAGAATAATCCACTTTTTGTCACAGTAACTTATCAAAAGTGATCATCCAATAAATTATAGAAGGTTTATGATTTGCATGACTAGAGGGAGGGTCTGCCCACATCAAAGAAATCATAGATGTTTTGTTGTGGTATCCTCTTTCATTATACTAATAAATGTATTGACACAAAATGAAGCTTGGAAGAACAGATCTGGATGTAGCTGGAGTAGTTGCCATCTGCATCTTTCTCACCAGTTTTGTTAAATTAAACTCTGAGGTAATCTCCGTGGCTCTAATGTGACCTGCCAGGAACATCATGGAAAGTGAAAGGAATTTACTTACCTGGATCCATATATCTAGAGAGCCTGGAGTTGTTACTGAGAGAGAAGCAGAGTGAATCAATAAGTCAGATTTGACTTGAGGAGCATTTCCTGTTGTTGTTGGATATGGCTGGGGGTCTGACTCACAAGTAACAGAAATAATTCAGAGTTTTTGTCTGATCCTGCAGATTTTATTGGGTAGATTGCTTTCTCTGTTGAGCTGTGCCACTCAGTTCAGCTGCTGTAGTTCAACAAAAACATAGCAGATAGCAGGAGGAATTTACTGTAGAAACAGCAGGTACCATGATTGAGAAAGCAGGCTGGTAGATCTAAGATCCCAGGCCCACCTTTAGTTGGACTGGAGTGAATAAATTCCTGTCACCTCCCATCAAGCCTTTGGAACTAGTAACACACAGACAGACAGACAGATAGACACACACACACACACACACCCCCTCTCATCTCCCACCTCGTGGCCATGTAGGTTACTCTGGAACCTCCGTTGGGGGAAGAGAGAGAAGTTGTTTTATTCTGCCATGCTCCCTGTAGATACATAAGCTGGAAACCTTTTCTTAGTGAAAACCAAAGTGAAGACCAAAAAATGCACTTCTTGAACTACGCTAAGGATGGAAATTTCTGTTTAGCCCTACTTACTGTATTTATTTTGAAGATAACTAATTCTGCTTTTGAATGCATTATTTCTTATTTTGAAGGTAAAGATTCCAAATCTGAAAGTGGCATCCCATCCCCTGTGTCATTAGTACCAGAAGAAAAAGTGTCATTTGGTCTCTATGCTGTCTCAGTGTCTTCACTCACAGTGGCAAGGATAAGGAAAGTTTACAACAAGTTAGATAGTAAAGCCATTGCTAAGCAGGTAAGTGGGGATTATTTTGTGATACACTGTGGTTGGCATATATTGGAAAAGATCATATATTTCCTTAAAGATCTTCTAGAATTTTAGGTTGGGCCAGTAATAGAGTGATTCCTGCTTTCCTTATGACAGTTTCCATTGACCAAAACCCCCGAAATCGTTTAACTTAGGAAACTGAATTCTAGCCAATATTTACAATTTATATTGGCTTTTTAAAAAACTGAATTTAGAAAAAAAATTACTCATTCATATGCATTGCTTGTTTTTTGTTTGTTGGTTTTTGATGAGACCTTTGATTTCCTCCATATTAGGAGCTCTCCATGGCCAGTGCAGATCAGCCCCTTCCCCGCAGCTCATGGTCTGAGACAGTCAGGACTCTAGGGGAGTGTATGGTTACATGAGATCCATCCAGGAAGACAAGGACCCTGTCACCCTGGGCAAGTCAGTTAACCACTATGCCCTAAAACTGTAAATAAAAGAGGAACCAAGCAATATCAGAAGAGGGAGTTTTCTCATCCAGGAGGTCCCTCTACCAGTGAAATCACAGGTTCTGTTATTCTCCCTATGTATAAAAACCCATATACTTGCCTGATGTGTGTGTGTGTGTATGTGTATTATCAGGCTCACACAACTCACGTATGACAAAGGGAGAGCAAGAACTCATTCTTTTGACTCTGAGTTTGCATCTCTTACTACTGTGTCATGGTGCCTCATACTTTTTTGTTGTCATTAAAAATAAGATTTCTATTTGATACCTTTTTTCCTCTGGGTTTTATGGCAACTATAGAGTTAATACAATCAACCACAAAGGCCCCATATGTATTTCTACAAAGTCCTCCCTCTGATGTAGGCATATTTTCTCCTAAAACATTTTAAAAACATTATTCACTGACTTTCACAATTCATTGAGTTAAGGAAAATTATATTAATTATTGATTGTGAAGTGGAAACAGCAGATGGTGATGTTACAGGATATCCTCAGTCGAACTCCTGTATTTAGGTTTGATGCAAACCCCTTCAGACTTTCCTGATACTGCATCAAGAATAGTTGTCCTCGTTTCCATCTTTGTAGTTTTATTTCCCCAGTAACTTCAGCATGTCTCCGGAATTACATCTGTTTTCCATATAATTAATTATATAATGAATCCACATATTTTTATGAAAGACTCCTTACTTATTTTCCTGTTGGAAGGCAAAGTAATTTGTTTTTCCAATTAAGTCTGGTTTTTAGAGCGAACATCCCTGTGTTTTCCCATTGATGGTTTTTATCACATTCTTTTTCTGTTCCACAGTTAGCCATTTCCTCCCATGAGAATGCCACCCCTGTGAAGTTGTTACATAACTCAGCCGGGCATCTGAACGGGCCGGCACGCACTGTTGGTGCTGCACTCATTGGCTACTTAGGTGAGACAGAGTTCTACTGTGACGCTTTGTATGTGGATGGCAATCTAAGTAGAGTTATGAGAAATCATTCCTTTCTGTCCTCCTGTTATCTCATGGTGGTGTCATTCATAATGGCGGTTATTTTGCCTTTTCCTTTCAATTGGTATGTTTTCCTTTTTATAATCAAAGTGTCATTTGTTTAGGAGTTTATCCTATTCTTATTTTGAAGTGAAATTGCATTCCTTGTCTTCTGTGTTTTGGTTCAAAGATTTGTAGATTTGTTAGTAATAAAGATAAATATACCAATTTGAGGCAGTATAGTGTTTGGTATTGCAATATATGATATCTTCTGGGGTCAGATAAACATCTAAATTTAGTGTTGTTATCTATAATTGCTTCAGGGAACTAGGTATAAAGGGAAAACTTGAAACATAAGGACTTAGTTTTAGAGCTCAGTGGTATTTTATAATACCAAAATGACCTTAGTGTTAAATGGCCTTGTAACTGAGCTGCTATTATCTGATTTTACAAAAGGAAAAACTTTCCCAACCTTTAAAATTTTTTTTAAACCATACTTTTTTTCCTTTCTGTCCATTTTAGAGAACTGAATAAGCAAAATCCATTCCTGATATTTCAAGATAAATTTAAAACCGTATAAACAGAATGTTGAATGCTACAGATTTTTCACGCTGTTTAGTTAACTTCTCAGCATGTGTGATTTGAGTTAGGCTTTACTGATGTGGGGAGTCAGATAACGGTAACCAGAGTCTATTATGTTTCTCAGTCCTCCTAATTTTTGTAATTAGTGGCATGTTATTTGTTGTTGTTGTTTTGTAATAGTACATTGATACCATTTTTTCTTTATTCTAACAAAATTTTTTCTCTTATTTTTATTCTTGATCTTTGCTAAGTGTCAGGGCCTGCCAGTGTGGAGACGCCCTCCACTAATACAGATCAGCAACTCACCTGTCATATAGAGTCTTATTGATTTGCCTGGGGCACTGACCCTTTAAGTCCCTTATCCAGTGCTGTGCTGATAAATGCTTAACAACTGGCTCTCTGAAAAAAATGTGCACAGGACACGCTCTTAAGGTTAATCTGCGTTATTAACATTTTTCTCCATCACTTTCTTAAGCCTTGGCAATCAACAGAACCATAAATCAAGCCCTGATTTGTAGTGTCTACCAATTTTGAAGGCTCACACTGAAAATTTAATAACTGTTTCTCAAAAGCTAGTTCAGGGTGCCTTCAGGTCTGGCATTCTATCCATTATACCGTATTACTTTACTTCTCTTAATTAAAAAAATTAATTGAGCATATATTCTATGGCCAGAAATTATGTTCTTCACAAGTAATCACTAGCTTTTCAGTACCTGTGGTTAGCAGAACAATCACAAATCTCACCTAAAAGTAAAAAATTATAGTATATTTTTTTATCTCTATTTTTTGGACTAAACTTGTGATTTCATCTTGTAGAGAGCTCCACTTGATAAAAACTCTTTTTACTAGAAACTCCCTTCTCATATTGGCTACTGTTCTGTAATTTATAGTCAGATTATTTCTTAGGGAATAAGAGGGTAAATGATTTGCCCAGATATAACCTGAATGTCTTAGAGGCAGGCCTTGAGCCCTAGGTCTTCCTGACTCTGAGACGGTTTCTATCTACATTATCTATGTTAAATTGACTCACATCCCTCTTAAATTAGAGAATTACATTTTAAAAGAAATTACGTATGTACAACCTACCTACTAGAGTTTTATCTCTTGATGGCCACTTGAAAGTCAAATCCCTTCTAGAATTCATTCTGAAATTCCACAAATTAGTATTTTTTAATCATCTATGAGACAGAATAATCAAAAGTAATCTCTTGAGTTTGCCCTCTTCAATCCATTCCATATAAATTAATTCACAATATTTATAAATGAATGAAAAAAGCATTTACTAATCACTTGCTATGTGCAGATTACCTTGATTTTATTAGAATAATCATTTTGGGGAAGGAAAGAGATATGGAATTTATATCCAAATGACATCAAAATGAATTGCATCATTTTTATCTTAATTATTTTTAAAAAATTGGAGATTTGGCCCTAATGATTTCTCGCTGTCTTTTACTCAGGAGTAAGAACATTTGTACCCAAGCCTGTCGCCACAACTTTACAGTACATTGGTGGAGCTGCTGCCATTCTGGGGCTAGTGGCCATGGCGTCAGATGTGGAAGGGTTGTATGCTGCTGTAAAGGCCCTGGTTTGTGTAGTAAAGAGCAACCCACTAGCCAGCAAAGAAATGGAAAGAATCAAGGGTTATCAGGTATGTAAGGAGGAGATTTTTAGCTTTATTTTTCCTCTTTTAAAAATTCCTTTTCTTTTCATGATGATTAGTAACGTGTTTTTCAAATTACAGAGGAGAAACATAGTCCAGGTTCACTCAAGAATCTTGTAATTCATTTATTACATATACTTAAAAGAGCATGACATGAGAGTGAAGTTAGTGCCTTCTTTAATTCACGTCTTTTTTTCCTTCTGACTCTTCAAACTTTTCCTGGTCAGACAAATTATTTCAGTGTAGGTTTTATGTACTTTGAAATTCTCATTGGATCCTAAGTAATTGAACAAAAGCAATAACATAGCTCTGGATTTCAGGGAGTCTAGGTTTGGTGAAGAGGTGAGACTGGATCCCACCTCCTGAAGCACAGTTATCCAGACCAGGGTTGGGGCCTAGGGTCGTGGCTTAGTAAGTGACATGTTGCCACATATGCCTGCCATCATTATGTATTCCATTCTTGATATATTAACACTTGCTGACTTGTCACCTTTAGCGGTCCTGAAAAATCTTTTCACTGTTTTTTTTAATCTGTAACTACTCCCTATCTTCATCCCAACTCCAATACCATAAATTTTGGTGGGGTAAGACTGTATACGCATGTGATTAGAAAAAGACTAAATTTTTCCATATATCAGCAAGGGAGAGAAACAGGTACTTGGAAAAGGTTTAAATTTCTTTTTCTGGTGAGTTGTACCATATATTTTAAAACTCTAGTTGACAATTTCCTAGAAACAAATGAAAAAGAGAAGCACTTATTTAATCATACAGGTTTGTATTTTTTGTCATCTTACAAAAGCACGCAATTTCAAAAGGTTCTCTATACAAAGAATAGCCAAATCTCTTCAGTCTTGTTCAGCTCGTTTTCAGTAACCTGATAGATTGTATTCTCCAGTGTTTGTGCTTTTTAATATTCAGGATGTTTTATCAACTGGCATTTCACATCTTTTATTTTAGTTGTTGGCGATGCTGCTGAAAAAGAAACGGTCACTCCTTAATAGCCACATTCTCCATCTGACTTTCTCTTTGGTGGGAACTGTTGATAGCGGACACGAGACATCCATCATTCCAAACTCAACTGCCTTCCAGGATTTGCTTTGTGATTTTGAAGTATGTATAGGAATAGTAATGCATAATTTTATCATCAGCAAATCAGTTTCACTAATTATATTGATAAAATGAAGGGAAGTCAAATTTGATAAACTAAGAGAATGTTAGTCATCAGCCATTTTAGTCAGTGACTGCTGTATGTAGACCTTTGTCCTAGGTGCTGGGGAAGATCCAAAGTGTAGATAAAATATAGTTTCTGCCTTAATGGAAGTCATGGTCTATAAACTAAACAAATTTGTCTGCAATCACCACTATTAATTTTATATTACAGGTCTGGCTTCATGCACCATATGAGTTACATCTTTCTTTATTTGAACACTTCATTGAACTACTCACAGAGTCCAGGTATTAGTTATTACCCATGTTTTAAACTAAAAAATTTTCAGTAGGTAAAGGAATTTTTTAACACAGAGATGAAGCCAGAACTGTTCATTAAAACCGCTTTCTGTTTCAGTGAAGCCTCAAAGAATGCTAAATTAATGAGGGAATTTCAATTAATCCCAAAGCTGCTACTTACACTTCGAGATATGTCTTTGTCCCAACCCACGATTGTTGCTATTAGTAACGTGCTGAGCTACTTACTCCAAGGCTTCCCCAGCAGCAATGACTTACTCAGGTAATATAAACTCTTGTCTGTCTTTAAAAAAAATTAATGTGAAGTTGCTATCAGGAAAATAATCTGTACACAGAATAGTCAACACCAGGTGTGTGATTTAAAACCATTTTAAATATAGACTTTCATGCTATGTTTTCAAATCTAGGGTATCTTATTGAAGAAGATAAATTACTGAATTCTTTACTTGAAAAGTAAGAATTGATTGTATAACTTTTCCATTACCTCCTCACTCATACACTTCCAGAGTTCTTTCTTTATACCTATCAAAACTCTCTTCTTTTTCTTTTTCTTTTTCTTTTTTTTTTGTGAGAGGGGTGGGTGGCAGGGAGTATTCTCAATGGTAAATTGAAGTTTGTTTTTTTTTAAAGACAAACATTTATAATATAACAAAATTTACATACAGCGTAATTGTACATAATCCTACAGGGGAAAAAGTGGATCTTCATAGAGCATTTCTTATGAGAAGAACAAGGCTGAGTAGAAGTCTGAAATGCAAACACAGGAGTCAAGAGAAATTTAGATGTAAATGAGCCATTGGAAGGGGCTGCAGGTGATGTAGTGCTGCCATCCGAATGTGAGACAGACAAGTGTCTTTCAGAACCTTAGTGACGTCAGAGAATTTTGAGGAAATTAAATAAGAAAAACAGAGTAGATTGGTTCTCTTTTGATGCTTGAAGAGGAGAAAGAGAGAAGGGAAGGTAAAAGGAAGAATGTAATAGTGAAGGACGGAGTAGGAAGGGAGTACAACTTCCTGTTTTCATAATTGGATTATGTGAAAAGAGTATACAAACATGGAGAAAGGGATGAGGAGGGGACGGACATCAGATTAACCTCACTCTTCTTTGAATTGAATAAAGAAGGGTACGCACACGCGCACACGCTGGCATGCAGAGTTTAGCATAGATGGGCATCAAACAATACAAAGAAACAAGCTTGGATGGGAAGGCTGAGGCTGAGAGGGACAGAATAACTATGAACACAACAAGCTTCCTGCCCTCAGAGTAACACAGAGAGTTGGCCAGGGGTGATGGGCGGGGTGGGGCAAAGAACTGTAGAGGGGTGCTTGTCAATTGAGGGATGACTAAACATAATACATTATACATATAATGCAGTATTATTGTGCTGTAAGAAATGATGAAAGAAAGGATTTCAGAGAATCTCGGGTAGTATGAATTGGTGCGGAATGACGTGAGTCAAAGGAGGAATACAATTTAGAAAAGAGCAGCGACATTGTAAAGAATAACAGATTTGAAAGGCTCAGGATCTCTTATCAATATCATAACCAACCATCTTCATGGCCGAGCAGCGATAGATTCAAGATGCACAAGGACACGGGCGTTTTTGAACACAGTCACCATGTTATTTTGTGTGACTCACGCTTTTATTTGGTAGAAGGATTTTTTTGTGTGGTGATAGTGGTGCTTGTTTGTTTTCCTTTTTCAGTTTTTAAGGAGGCTGAGGGGGATTAGCCATAGTAATGCCAAAAAGAAAAAGAGTACAGTTGAACAATTTTTTAAATACACATTAAAGAAGAGAAGGAAGCACAGACGAGCAGGATGGTTTTGAAAGTGGGACTGAGCTGAGAGAGACATCAGAGTTAGATAATACAAATTTGGAGGCGTATGGTAGTGACAATAACAGCTAACATTTCCGTTGTTCTTTAAGTTTTACAAAATGTTTTACATATATCTGATCCTCCCAGCAACTTTGTGATGTAGATGCTATTATTATCTCCATTTTACTCCAGAGTCATATAACTCAGATACATATGATATGTATCTGAGGCAGCATTTGAACTCAGATCTTCTTGATTCTAAAGCCAGCACACTATACCTTTAGTGTAGTAAAGTGCCTTTAGTGAAGCTGTGGGAATGGATGAGATGGTTCTGGGAGAGTCTAGCGTTAGAAGAAAAGGATGACCAAGGGCTCATTCTTAGGGGGCAGGAGGAGAAAAAGCAAAGATAACCTCGGAATAAGATAAGAAGTGAATCAGGAGCATAGGAACTGTCACAGACACTGAGAAAGGTGGGAGCTGAAAAAGGGCCATTGTTTTGGGCAAGTAAGAATTACTGGGTTTTGGTTTAGTTTAACAAAACCTTTTTTTCTTTCTTGTTATATGGATAGCTATCTTGGAGAGGGAGGAGGAAGGACTATATTGGGAAATGTAGATTATGTAAAGACAAAAAATATTAAGAGCTTTTAAAAAAAGTTATCATTGGGGCAGCTAGGTGGTGCAGTGGCTAGAGCACTGGCCCTGGAGTCAAGAGGACCTGAGTTCAAATCCAGTCTCAGATACTTGACATTTACTAGGTGTGTGACCCTGGGCAAGTCACTTAATCCTATTGCCTAGCCAAAAAAAGAAATTATATTGATCTTGGACAAAGTAGTTTCAATAGACCGACAAAAAGAGAAATTAACTTATAGGGGTTTGAGGAGTCCATGAGTAATGAGGAAGTAGAAAGAGAAAGTATAGAACACTCTTTCTGGAAGTTTGGGAAGAGAGGTGTGTGTGTATGTGTATACATATGTACATATATACATGCATATCATGCCTTGAACATATAATAAGCTCAAAGGAAAGATACGTTGTTTGTTTTCAGGTTAGGTTAGACCTAAGCTTGTTTGTAGGCAAAGAGAAGAATATAGGAAAGAAAGAGAATGAGGGCTTGATCATTGACACAAGATGGGATATACTCAAGGACAAGGTAGAGTGATTAGTTTAGGCAAGAAGGAGGGACCACTTCTTTATCTGAAACTATGGAGAAGAGAAAATACGTGAAGACCAGAGGTGCTAAGGAAAGGGAGAGGGGACATAAGGAGACATAAGATGAATGACATTGATCTTCTCAGATGAAATTATCAGCCATGGATTGGAGGAGACAAAGTTAATTCCTTGAAGTGAAGATTTTACAATGCTCAGTGTGAGAAAATGTAATAGAAAGCCTATCAAAAATGAATTTTTTAAAAAAAAATTCCATACAATGCTGAGGGATGAATTAAATTAAGGTTGGGTAACTTGAATTTATTCATACTTGATATGCTGCATATTTCTGGACAGTTACCATCTTTAGTTTTCTTCTTGTGTCTTCAAAACTTCTTAGAAACAATTGGAATTACTGCTTTAATTCCTAAGAAAAATATTAAGTATTTTAAGACCCACAGAACCTGATTTGAGATCATTAGTTTTCAAATGGCATTTATTTAGCACCAAATGCTGTCACCGTGCTGGAAAGAGTGTCTTTTCTATTGGTGACATGGACACCATTCCCTATTTTATATTTCCTTTGTTTGAAGGTTTGGCCAGTTCATTGCTTCCACTTTGCCAACATTTGCTGTCTGTGAGAAATTTGTAGTCATGGAAATAAACAATGAAGAAAAGCTGGACACAGGTAAGAATTCTATGATTTGAAAAATAACATTGGTAGGAAAGTTTATTTTGGCAGACTGAAATGAGGTCTGAAATTTTGTTGATAGTAACTCTTTGATTTTCTCTATTCAGTAGTACGTTTTTCCCCTCTCATGGTTTGCACAGACCTGTGATGGTAATTGAAAGCTCAGATTTAGACATAGAAAGGATGAGTTTCTCTGGTGGTGGGTGTGCATGGAGGGGAAGTGTTAGTATGTTAGTTAGAAAAAAGCTTCAAGAAAATT